AAAAATGAATCCTAAAAACGCACCTTTCGTCATACCCTTTTCCTGTTAGGCAGAAGAAGCCCTCTTGACACAGACGTCCATTTAGAATTAATTCAAAATGTGCGTTTTTTTTTCTTTTCTTTTTTTACTGTAAGGTTCAACATATACGGAGGACACTTCCTGTAGAAGGTTAGAGAAAAGAGACAGCTTATGCGGATAGGAGGGGGAGATAACGGCTAAACCTACACTTGAAAAGATTAAGATTGTAGTGATTGGAAAAACATCTTCTTGGAAGTCAATTCGACAGAGCAGTGATTCGCGTGAAGAAGCTTTTCGAGTGGGATATGGAGGGAATTAGGCTGGTTTGCTACAATATGTGTGGCATGTCGGGTCCACCCCGTGAAGGTTAGAACAGATGGAACCAGAGAAGGCATTTCGTCCGAGCACATTCCATGGGAGTACAGCGAGAGGCTTACCATGTCTGGGGGAGAGGAATTACAGGGTTTAAAATAATTTGTCACCCACAAGTATACGGAGACGCTTTTCGGCTCTATCGAGACGTGAATGTGAGAACTGGGCAGTTGCCGCCCAAATATGACAACAGTAACCCATTTTAGGCCTAATCTGGTCCGTGGAAAAGTAGAAGATTGCATGAGGAGTCAAGTACTGGAGCAGGGAACCGACTATTTTTCCTGCATCCTAAGCGATCGATCGTATGTACAAGTTCCACTTGAGGTCAAGGTTGAGTTTAAGGCCCAATAGTCTCGCAAGACACAGATCCTCCCCAAGGGGACATATGTACGTTTGTCTGTACAAGTATATATATATATATATATATATATATATATATATATATATATATATATATATATATATATATAACCACATCACACCCTTTGGAGAGGGTAGAATGGAGACCAACATGTTTTAATGGACTCAGCTATTTTCAATCTGCTTGCCTGAATCATCTTCAAGAAGCGAGAGCAAGATCTAAAAAGTCAGCCAATCTAACAGTGATCCCATATCACAATCCTCACACTTGCTTCATATGTCGCCTCCTTTGTAAGTCATATGCGGTTCTTAAATGCCACTTAAGATTATCGCACAAACTTTCATAACTGAATCAATAAGCATAAAGCCTTGTAATTATCTATTTTTTCAGGGTTTTACAAATTAACAGTATTTTCGTTGATAAACCCCTATCATTCTTCCTGATTACACTTATTTTTATGTGAATTCATTTATTGCCATTAACTTTGTTTTTAAAGTGAAGTTAAATTCACTTATAAGTTATAAGTCATTTTTGTGATGTAAGATTTTAGGCACCACTTAATGGATATGAATAAACAGATACTAATATGTAATTTTTATGAATAAACTGATTTTTATACGTGACAGTAATAGATTGATATTGATAATTATGAATGGATCGAAATATATGAGGAAAACTCAAAAATTCTCCGCACTACTCTCTAAAGGTATGTTATGGCGAAAGTGGCGATAATTTTTAACTTACCTTTGTATATGCAGAAACTAGTATCATTAGACATGAATAGGCTGATGTTAATAGATAGGCAGAAATAAATTTATGTCAAAAGATAGGCATGAATAGACTGGTAACAGGCGTGAATAGATTGATATCAAATGATAAGCGTGGATAGATTGATATCAATAGATAGGCATGAATAGACTGGTAACAGGCGTGAATAGATAGATATCAAATGATAAGCGTGGATAGATTGATATCAATAGATAGGCATGAATCGACTGTTAACAGGCGTGAATAGACGGATATCAAATGATAAGCGTGGATAGATTGATATCAATAGATAGGCATGAATCGACTGTTAACAGGCGTGAATAGATAGATATCTAATGATAAGCGTGGATAGATTGATATCAGTAGATAGACATGAATCGACTGTTAACAGGCGTGAATAAATTGATAAATGATAGGCGGGGATAGGTTGATATCAATAGATAGGGTTAAACTGCTAACAGATAGGTGTAAATAGATAGCTATCAATAGATAGGCGTGGATAGATTTATATCGATAGATAGGCAAGAATAGACTGTTAACAGGTGTGAAAAGATATTAATTGATAGGCATGGATAGAGTTATATCGATAGACATAAATATACTGCTAATAGATAATTATGAATAGATTGATATCAATAGATAAAAACCGGGTAAAATAATTAATGATTAGATAATAAATTTCGCGAGTTAAGGTTCGAGTATGACAAGTTGGTTATTATTTTTTTTTATTTCGCTCCCATACAGCATATGTAAGTCAAGAGAGAGTTTGACCAAATGTGTGCCGTTGATAATTATATGATTTTATTAAACTTTTAAGTAATTATTCGTTAATATCTGAAATTATTTTTTAAGTTTTATTTTATTTTTATTTTTAATTTTTATTTTTTTTTTTTTACTTTTCGAAATATTGAATTAAAATATACATTCGCATACGCAAAGGTACATACACAAAATTTCAGGGAAATTTAAATAAGCGTCTGTGACGCGCGGATTAATTTCTCCTGTCTGGTATTAACACTCAGGTAAAGTCGAAATATACGGCCATTTGTGCTCGTTTTATGATTTCTTCTGTTTGTTTAGTTTTCTTTGTGAGACAGATTGGAAAGGGAATCTATCTTTCCAATGTCTACTTTCAAAATCAGTTAAATTGCTTGTGCATGTGTGTGTGAGTGCGTGTGTTTGTCTTCATTGTCTACGGAAACCCCAGTAAATCACGCACTTATAACTTATACATGCGTATATATATTACATACGCGCATGCAAAGACACAAGTAGACAATGTATAACGGATATAGAATCAGATCTTCTTTATAAATAAATTATATTTAAGTAAATATATAGATATATTAACGAGGCGGAGAAAATCAAAAGTTAAATGCATGAACAGGTGTTCATTTATATTTACGTTTCTTTTTGCAATAATTCTTGAGAAGTACATTTATGTTTTCAATTACATCAAAATTCCTGGATCGTTATGCATATTCGTTTATATATATATATATATATATATATATATATATATATATATATATATATATATAACGAAAGCGCGTGTGTGTGTGTATAACTGACCAATGAAAGCGTACTGCATGCAATTCGAAATACCGAAAGTTTTACCCCCACCCTACGTACCGTTTCATTTCCCTAAAAATTTCTGATGAAACTATTTGAAATGAAACATATCAAATTTATAAACATTTCCCATCTATTTTTATTTAATTATTCTGTTGGCTTTAATACATTTTTTAATTTGCATACACGCATACACACACACGCACACACAAAACAGCGTGGGCCAAAAGTAAGCTTACACTTGTTTCATTATTTGTTTTACGTTTTAGACCTTACTTATCTAACTTATAATTAACTTTGCTGAACTGTTCTTTCACAAGATGGAGCACTTCCCCTTTATGCTTTAACAGTAAGGGACTAACTTAAAAAAAATCTTTCCACGGCGTTTCTTCGGAAGAAGAGACAGCATCGAACGACCACCACGTCCACCTGGTCTATCATCAATGGATTTCTTTTTGGCCGGTGTAGTAAAGAACAGGATTTATGAGAGATAATTTTCTAAATATATCTCTTTAAATGAGATGTCAGTGTTATTTTCATTTTTGCATACATCAGACGACAATTTTTTCCATCGCACCCTGTATATAGGTATAACGCCGAATTATGAACCCATTGAAATATTATGAATAAAAAAAAACCTGTAAAAGTAGAAATGATTATTTATTAATTTAGAAAGAAATCCTCTCGCATTTGAAGATGGAAAAGAATCAAACACTCCTTTGGTCTTAATTGATTAATTTAATCAATATAATATTTTTCTCTATTATTGATAACATAATCCCATTTATTTAAATCATCGGGCTTAATGAGGTGACGAGGAAGCCATTATTTTCCTGAAGGTGATTTGTGACTGAAGTGTGACTTTTATCGAACTGTTTTCCTAACTCCCTTCAGTTGGCTTTGGATTTTCATCAACTACAGCTTACAGAAGCTCAATATTTACAGAACTAGAAGTGGGACTTTACTCTTTGATTTCTTATTTCAAACCGAAATACATTACACCATCCGCTCATCCAAGCTTACATGATCTAGTATTCGCAAGTGGTTCTGACCAAGCTCGTCGTTGCTTAACTACTGTTATCGGACAAAGACCGGTGTTTCTGCGTGATATGGCCGTAAACTCACAAAGGAAAAAATGACTTTCTTTTTAAACTAATGCTTACATTAAAATAATTTATTCAATTCATTATGTTTTCTTTTTAATTACATTAAATCTGCCTTAACTTAAATAATGCATTAATTATTTAAATTCATTAAAAATAATTTTCATTCTGTGAAACTATGTAATATTAAATGTTTTTATACGAGGTCTGATCAAAGAGTAAGCAAAGTGTAGCCGATTGGCACAGATAGACTATGAACTCACACCTCAGTGATTCCATTAGTGATTGCGGCTTGTGTAACAGTTTATGGCTAAGGACAGCATTCCCCAGATTCGATAATTACCGTTATTCCCCAGATCTCGCCAATTTTAGATCTTCAAAAATCAAATCCCACTAAAGGAAGAAGATTTCAAGACGTCGATGAAATCCAAGAAAATACAATTAAGCAGCGGCTTGCTATCCCCCCAAAAAATTCCACGGATGCTTCCATCAATGGAAACGACATTGGATAAAATGTGTGGTTTCAGAAAGGGACCAATTCGAAAGACATTAAATGCTGAATTGTTATATATTATAGTTTTCTTCTTATAGTACCAGTTCCGATATACCTTTTGACTTTTGAGCAGACCTTGTATACAACTATTTTGTATATTGTTTATTTGCGATGATTTTAATCACTTTAAATTCTGAATTAATCATTTTATAGTCTGAATTAATGAATTTTGTCCCGAAAAAGTCATTTCCTTCTTTGCTAGGACATCTAACTGAATGACATACAAGGGTCAATTACAAATTCAATCAACGTAATGGGTTCCTTGATTTTTCAATGTGCATGCAAATTATTAACTCTTCCGAAATCAATTTCTTTCGGTTTGGAGGAGAAACAAATATCTATGCCTGTTTCACTTTGTAACATCTTCATTGTTGGTACATTGATTTGCATCTATGAAGCGGGCTTCTAGTGTAATTAAATGATGTATATACATATTATTTGGAACCCAAAATACAATTCGTATGTTGAATTGGCAATAAAACGTGGCAACATTAAAGTTAAAAAACAAGAATTAAATAAATGTTATATATGACATAATGCATTTATAAAATAATGGATATCTAATTGTAATACATAGTTTTTTTTTCACGAAAAATTCTAATAACTATATTTTAATGTAAACATACAATGTTTACAAAATTCTGTTAATTCATTACGCTGATTTAGGAAATCATTATTTCTAGGAAACTTAAAAATATGCAGCTTTTCGTGTAGACACAGAGTCATTTAAGGGCTTACATATTCTCGTTTTTTTCCATTTAACTGTGGGGTTTCTGATGATTATATAATGTTACATCTAACATTTATTTAATTCCTTGTATTCTAACTGTAATATTGTCATGTTTTATTGCCCATTCAACATAATATGCATTGTATTTTGGGTTCAAAATAATATATATATAAAATCATTTAATTACACTAGAGGTCGCTTTAAGATAAGTTCTCAAGTATATACATTTTTTTTATCTTAGAATTCTTTAAAATTAAACTTTAGTTAAATTTCTACCTATCTATCTATCTATCTATCTATCTATATATCTATCTATCTATCTATCTCTGAATACATCAATGTATCTTACATGTATAACCATAACCGGGTGTTAGTTAATGGTGACACGTCTTAAAAATATCATTGCATAGAGACAAGATTGAATAACATACCTACGTATAACCTGCAACCTATAACACACCTACGTATAACCTCCAACCTTTTCTGCTTCAACCCTTATTCGTCTTTTGATTGGTTAACCTAGACATACTACAAAACTTTGAAACTTTATCCCCACTCCTTTTTAAAGCATAAATAAGCTACCATACTGTTTTCTGTTTTCAAAAGTAAATTAATTTCATCATATGTTACCTAACATCGCCTGATGTTAGGTCACATTTTATTTTAGTTTCGAAACATATATTTTTTAATGTAGCGATGTAAAATATTTTTAAATAAAAACATTATTACAATATTGTTATGGTCCGGTTCCTTGTACCACGGTGATAGTCCAAGGTAGAACCAATAAAGAAGAACTCGAACACAGGTATGGAATAACACAGATATATTACAAACAGGAATATATACAGAGAAGTAGAAAGTGTTAGTACGAACAATCAGGTTTAGTAGTAATTGTCTGAACGCGACTATGTTTCGGACTGCCTCTGACTCGATTGACTCGCTCTGACTGACTGACAGACTTCTGACAGACTTCAGACTGAACGGTATTTAGTCACCTACCCCCCACGAGGGCATCATGTGGCACAAGGCCGGTTTTATCGAGCACTTTCTTTTAAAAAGTAAATGTTAAGGAACGGTGGAATCTTAATCTGTCCGTTCTTTCTCTTTATTTGTATATATGCATATACATACTGTTTATTTGTATATATGCATATACATATACATATACATACTTTCACAAGTCCAGGACAGTAGACGAAAATAAATAAATATTCTGTTTAATCAATAGACATGGGGAATCTTTGAAACTTAGATTTCCAAAAAAAAAATATTTAAGTTTTTTGGCTTTTTTTTTCAGTTAGCATTGCAATCAAACAATGAATTTGGAAAGCCATAGATTATAATAACTAAAAAAAAATAAGAATACCAGAAATTCTTTCATTTTTCTGCTTACCTTATTCTCTGAAGAAGTTCAAACTTTTAGATTAATAAACCTTTCCTACGAGGTCTTTATCCCGCCATTATATATATATATATAAGGTCATCCACAGACAGACTGTTTCGCAGCTCATTAGTGTGGCTAGACATCCGGTTGTATCTAGCTAGGATCGAAACCCGACTGAATTGGTGTCAGTCAGAGATTCTACCACTAAGCTGTCGGCGCACGGCAGGGATGAAGGTGAATTTTAGTGTATTTATTTTTAGAAACACACACATATATATAGATATAAAGGACAATGATCACAGCTGAATCAGACCAGGGAACAGCAGTATTAAAAAGTGTTCAATACACGTGAGAAAAATATATATGTAAAAATAAAAATAACATGTAAAGCTTTTAAATTTAAAAATCAGGCAGTCAGTTAAAATACGCGACCATGGTTTTGACCTGACAGTCGCTTCGGGCGATACATTTAAAATGATCACTTTAACGCCTTATTTATGAAATAAAATGGTAATTTTAAAAGTATCGCTCGAAGAGCCGTAAGGTCGAAACCATGGTCGCGTATTTTTAATTGACGTCCTGATTTTAAAGTATATATATATATATATATATATATATATATATATATATATATATAGAGAGAGAGAGAGAGAGAGATTGATCGATATATAGGAAAATGATATCTACTTTTTATATATCATAACAGTTTTAAGAAAATCTATGACAAAGTGAAAAGTATTTTTCCCGTGAAAAGTTTCGTCCTTTCAAACTTCATCGAACTAAAGTGATGTTTAATCTGATGTGGTTACACATGCACATGAAGAAGAAGGGACGCTGAAAGTATATAATTATAAAATCCGAAAGATAGATAGATAGATAGATAGATAGATAGATAGATAGATAGATATAGATAGAAAAAGAATAAAAATTACGTTGAAAGAAAATGTTGATTTTATTTAGTCGAAAGATCACTTAAGTCAAATCTTCCATCCACCACAGAATACGAAAATGCACACTTAACTACAAAATGATTCATTATACTTTCCATTGGCTTCCTGTTTCAACAAAGAAAGATATCTGATCCTGACACGTATCGTACACAAACTAACTAATTTATGTAAATAGGAGTTGGGTTATGTCATTCCCAAGGGTAATTACAATGTATTGAAATATATATTAGCCGTTGATTTTGGAGCGTTTCCATTACAATAAACACAATCTTACACTCACTTTCTCCCTCTCAAACACACACGCATTATATATATATATATATATATATATATATATATATATAGAGAGAGAGAGAGAGGGGGATGTATATGCGTGTAAATGCAGAGATAGATTGAGAGAGTTTAAGAAAGTCACAGAGTAAAATAGAGAATAACAAACAAAACATTTTATTTCGATTATTTTTAATATGTATAACTTTTTTCTCATTCACTGCTTGTATATCTCTTCTTTCCTTTCCTTTTCTTTGAATTTTTGCTTTGCTGCAAATTTCACATTCAGAAAGCATTATTTATCTTCCTTTTAATATTAATTACATGTCTTCTCTGGTCGACTCGAGGAAACATTAAAAACAATTAGCGTCTTTAAGTCCAAGCAATTAACATCTAAGAAATAAACACAGATCTAATTCTACATCATGCTTATCCTCAACGACTAAATTTTTAAATATATGTGAAGCGGGTAGGCATGCTTAAATGCAAAATAAGTAACAGAACTGTCCAACAAATAGAATTGACAAAGTTTGCAATAAGCAATAACAAGAAAAAGAACAGGCCAAAAATAATATAAATCCAGCAAACAAAATATGCAGTAATATAGCAAAGCAATATTAATATGGCAAAAGGATCACAAACAAAGAATTAACTTCGACATAGAAAAGCAAAATGAGACAAGCGAACGTAGCTTTCTGACTTCAAGACAAGACAAATCGGAACTGAGTGAGATGACAGTGCAAACCAGCCAAAAATCCCATCATGCATTTGTGTGCTTCTGCCTATAAAAGGAGAGAGGAAAGTGTATGTCTATATTTCTGAGATGAGGTATTATGTACATTATTTACATTATTCTGACTATTGTCCTCATCTTTGTCGCCATATTTATCACAACTCCGGCCTTCTTCTGTAACAACTATCCTGGGTACATGGCAACAGCCCCCCAAAACTGGGATAGGCGGGTACAAGAGTAGGAGGACAACAACACTAAGAAAACAGTCTGCCTGCCTTATATGAAGGGGTTATCAGAGAAAATACAAAGGATCTGCGATCCATATAACATCACGACAACCTTCAAAAGCTTGACGACACTTCGCAGATATCTCTCCCGGGTAAGACCCCCCATAGAAGAGAACATGACTAAAGACTGTGTGCAGCTGCGAAAAGGAATATAAATGAGAAAGAGACCGCCCCCTCAAGGTAAGGCTTCAAGAACACCAGAAAGCTGTAACACGAAGGGAAGTAGAAAAATCAGGCGTGGCTGACCACATATGGAGAGAGAACGGAGATCACCGCCTTCTGTGGGATCATGTTGAGATCATAGATAGGGATCACCATTGGAAAATTCGTAGACTTAAGGAATCAGCACATATGCTAGGCCACAAAAATCTCCTGAGCCGACCAAGCATAGAAATAAATACAATATGGGAACCAGTAATAAGGAGTGCCAGAGAAAAGCAATGATAGCAACAAAGTTGCAGTATGAGCTCTGGTAAAAACATACAATGATAACAGAAAAATTGCAATATGAGCACTGGTAAAAATGGTTGCTGAAGACATTGGGTTTATAATACACAGAAATTCATACCCAGATGTCCTCAAGGATACATGTCACAGTGAATAAAGGCGTTGGTTAGATCCAGTGACAAGACCCAAAGAGTGTGAGTTCAATACCCGGTTAAGGCAGTGGAGGACATTCAGACGGAAAATTAATATACTGATAGCTGATATCCATCAGATATGGCACGTGGAACTAGAACAGTCTACCCCAGTGAGCGAAATAAAGGGTTCAGTTCGAAATTCCAACCTGAAGAAGGCCGGAGCGTACAACGGCCGAAACGTTGTGATAAATATGTCAACAAAGACAAAGATGAGGACAATAGTCCGAATAATGTAAATAATGTAGGAAAGTGTTTTGCAGTCATGCTTACACAATTTACGGTGCAGTTTTCTGTGAACCATCTCCTGGTTGAGTTAAACACTATTTGTTTGCCTAGTTAATATGAGTAAGTGTTGCTCCCGGTCTTCCCTTTTATTTATGATCCATTGTCGATATTCCCAACCTCCCCAATTTGTTTTTGTCTCCCGTTTCTATCTTGACTCGGTCAGTCTTTGATTTCCCCACTCTGTCATTTATTTTTCCTACCCAATCCATTAGTGAGTGTGCTTCTTGATTCTGTCGATAGGCAGCATACAGCAGCAGCAGCTCTTATTAGTTTTGTGCGATGAACGGGTCCTATTAACATATGTTATGTTTAAGTTTGAATGTTTTGTTTTTATTTTCCTTCTTGGGTTCTTCACCACTTCATTTCATGATTCATTAAATTTTTATGTATTATTGTAAAAAAAGCGATTTTTGCATCACGGAGTTTTTGTAGGTTCCCTGTGTATATGTGGTATTGTGGTACATGTAGGAGTGACTGGCGATGGATGAGGTTTTGTGGTGAATGAGTAAACTGTAATGAATAAATACGTCATTAGTCTGATGAATTGTGATATTTATTGATGACCAGCATTACCCTACTTCCTCTTCGGTCTTGAGATACAATTTTTCATTTCATGTATAATAAATGTACATTCTTACACAATTTGAAGCCAACAATATATTTTCTCATTTTTGTTAGTTTCTTTCTTTTTTTTTCGCAACCCACAGTCCTAATTTTTGTTACAAGCCAGTATTTTTTCCTTATTGAACTGCTAGAACTGGTTCAGGACTGTAAATATCCGAACATATTCTTACTATATATGAGTATCTGAAATCTTACTGACGACATTTTTAGCACTCTTGTTAATAATGTATTATTCAATGAACAAAAATAGGCAAGTCGTACAATAGAAACCTGAAAACTAAACTTTGCACTGACTTTTTAATCATTTAGATTGGAATGTCATATGTTCGATTTCTAAAAATCTGTTTACTTGTAGTCATTTCTTACATTTTAACAAGTTTTAATATGGAATTTAATTATCGGTTTTAAAAATCTTCCAAAAATAAAATATATATTTTTGACACATTATTTGAATAAAATTAGCAAATTTAAAGTTAAATTAATCTGAAATGAAACAAATCTTTCTGATAGCATAAAAATATAGTATACAAACATTTCTTAATAACGGGTCCTGCTTTTCTCATGTCTTTATTGACGCTATCGATAAGCAACGAAGTGGTGACAGCTAGTATGGATGCCCATAACTGACATAAATTTACGAAATGTAAGTGAATGCATTTTGGTTTATAGATACATAATAATTTTTACAAATGAAGACATTTTCAGCAATTATCTAATATTTCATGGACTTTTAGTTACGTTTCAAGATGCTTTATGAAAAAAATAACATTTGACATAATATAAAATTATCTTAGATTAATTTTAAAATTTAATAACTTGAGATGAAATAACATGACAGAGGTAACTCAATAATTTATGAAATGTTATAGTATTTTATTTATTCTATATTTACATTTTTAATATATCTTTTCATTTTATTCTTTTAGATCAATGATAGTTATATTATTGTTAAATTTTTATAGTAATTTAAATTTTATTATTTATTCCGTAATTGTTTTAAATTTTATTATTTTAACCCAATACTGTAGACAATATTTAAAAAAGTAAAACTTACTTTAAAATTATGAAGAAACGTAAACCATGAAACTGAATAATGAAAGTGAAAATTGCAGAGTGACAGACAACTCTTAAATCTCGTGACCTTTTAAGCATAATGTCGTGTATGGATTACCATAGTTACAAAATGGGAACGTTTATACATTAAAAGTTTTTTTTAAATATTTGGTAAAACGACTGTTAAGAACTTTTGAATTTTTGATTGTAAATGTAGTTTTCATTTAATGACAATAACACCTAACCGTCTTGAAGTAATTTTAAACGATTTTTATAATATAAATTATTTAATTGAAATTTTACAAAAATGACAACAATTCTTGTAAAAATTAATTATTCATCGAAAAAATGTTTTTCTTCAAGCAATAGTTTCCTTAATATATCTTATTTAAAAAAAGTAATTAAAAGCTTTTCTAAGTAAATAATGTCATAGTTTTTTGCATTTTTATTTTACAATTGAGTGCAGATTTTCAGTGACTGGTTAACTGTTTTACAAAAAAAAAAAAAATGATTTACATTCTGTAAGGAGTCCTGCTATTAAATAATAAAAAATTCCCGCCCTAAAAATTGAATTTCTTGAAATTTCCTGAAATTAATTAATTGGGTGGTAACATATGCAAAGAATACTTTTTAAGAAAATTCTACAATTAAGAAATTTCAAAAATAATTTCATACATTTGTGTATAAATCATGAAAGTTTCATCAAATTCCAACTATTATTTCATTTTTAGAAGAATTTCCAAATCAATGTGTTTTTCACCGGAAAAAAAAGCACAAAATATTAATCGTATTTATTAAGTCGGCCGCTGACGTAAACAAAACATGATATTTAACCAAAATTTAGGACGTGCTAGAAAGGATTCAAAAAATTTAAAAAATAATCAAGAAATACTTTTGTGTTTCCTTTTAATAATAACATAAACATTTTGACGATAAAATTTTGTTTTTATATAGTTTAGGGTCCTTTTTCATCATGTTATGCTGTTTTTCAACGAAAAAGTGGAGCTACCTACTGTTTGGGAATATGAAAGAACAAGAATTAAGAAGATTGTGATTGAATTTAAATTTTTGAAGGTTCAAACTTGACTTGGAAGCATGAAACCGGGAGGAGTTCCACAAGAAAGAAGTACAATAGAGAGAAACTGTTAGCATAGAACGTACAGTTACAGCAGGCCATTTCGGTATTTATCATTTCACCCACGGGAAACGAATATGGCACAAGGCCGGTTTTATTGTGGGTTTCTCCGAGCCCGTAGGCTCGGCCAAAAAAATAGCCTTTTGAAGCCGATTAGACGGGTTCAGGCCCTGTCTACCTCCCCGGACGAAACCTTGCCCTTCGACAAAGCCTCGTCTGGGTTCCTCTCTGCTAACGCAGAGAGTTCGACAGACGTCGGAAGTCAGCTCAAGAACTTTTCAACTGCAAAATGATGTGACATCGTCACCAATCTAGTACTGAGTTTAAATTCATAAAGTCTAGGTACCATAGCGGAAAGCACATTAGAACAATTACCATGAAAGTATTTATAAAAAAAAGAAAAAGGCACAGAGAAGATACGTTACAGCGTGGGAAAGAAACTGAAGCTGAGTTGCCAAGATTTTATCACGAATCTCTAAGTATATAGCAGGAACACCAGACCAGACGTGGCGGCAATATTCAAAACAAAGACGAATGGTAGACTTATAAATATGTAAGATAGATTCTGGCGAGAAAAATTGTCTAATACGACATAGTGAATTAATTTACTTAGCTACAGACTTAGCAATTGATTCAATATACCTCTTACAGTTTATGTGGAAAACTTTAGTCCGAGAAGGCGCAATGAGTGACTCACCTGAAGAATAGCATCATCCATGCTGATGGAAGGTAAAAAGCGTTCTTTCAGGTTATTAATAGAGAACAGTTTCGTTTTGGGAGCTCACTCCATTTAACAAAAGATTGTAGATTATTATTGAGATCAACTGCTAATTTAACCTTATCGAACCGATCAGACTTAGAAGTAAATAGTTATATCATCAGCAGACATATCGAGTTGACATCAGGATGGTCATTTATGAAAATTATTAGGTTGGTGCAAAAGTAATGACGAAATAATGTCGTTTTTTGACGTATTTTTAACGTCAAAAAACGACATTCTTACGTCATTATTTTTGCACCAACCTAATATAAACAACGTTGGACCAGGGAGAGTGCCCAGAGGAACATCTGCTTTGAGGCAAAAAAGATCAATACGAGTGGCCATTCAAGACAACCTTTATTTCACGATTTGATACGAAAGATTGAATCAGTCTAACAATTCATCCAGAAATACTATAACCTTTCAACTTGTTAAGGCAACCAATATACTTAACCCTGTCAAAAGCCTTCAAGATGTCTAAAGCAACAGTCTGAGATTTACCATTATCTAAAGCATGATAGACTCTTTCAGCAATAATGCTACACAGGTTGAAAGTAATAATCCCTACGTAGATTAAAAATGCATATTGATAAAAGCTCTGACGAACAATAGAACTGCCATTTATAATTTATCTAGCAGATTGTATAAATAAGTTACAGTAAATTCAAAATGCAGTTTTAAATAGCTGAAATAATTAATCTGGTTATCTATTTAGGAAGGCAATGATTTTAGGTTGCATATTGTTGTTGTATATTTCGAATGAAAAATCTAAGGTAGCGTTAAATGGTAGGTTGTTAAGCCAATTTTCCCGAAAAAACATGTGTATTTTAGGGATCATAATTGCCAATAGATTTGAGGTTAAGCGAGGTGCCATCCTGTTACATTTTATGCAATTTCTGAGCCTCACGTTTGGCAGAAGCTCAGTAAAAGCAGGAAACTGAAATTGATGAAAAGGATCGTGAGAGGAAACGGTGGATGATCTGAAGCCAATCATGACCGGCCAAGAAAGACGACTGGGAACTAAATTGCCATGAAAAGGAGAAGGAAAATAATAAATAAATAAAAAAAAGCCGGATATACAAGGAATGTAGACAAAGATGAGAGAAAGGATCTGAGATAAAGGAACAATTGATCGAAATAGAAATGAGTAGAACAAACACGAGATATATCCGTGTCTCTGTGGCTCGGAAGCTGTATGAAATATATATGTGTATTTTGGTGGGGGGGGGGTACACAATAATATATTTTTCTATATTCCTTGGACTTATATTGGGTTAACATTTTCTAGCGGAAAACTCATAAAGTTTTCCAAGACAACTAGACTTCTGTAAATATTTCTTTCTTTCTTTCTTTCTTTCTTTCTTTCTTTCTTTCTTTCTTTCTTTCTTTCTTTCTTTCTTTCTTTCTTCACAGACACACACACATATCTCTGTGTGTGTACACAAACTAAAAAGCAAATGAGTAAGGCCTGCCTTTGTGAAATAACGTATCTCCCTTTTGTTTCGGATGCTATTATACATCCTACAAACAAACACACTACTACAGTAAGGAATAATCAACAATTTTACATTTTGAATTGTAGTGTGTGCGTGGGTGGGAATATAAATTACTATTATTATGCTTGGATGAAGAGCATGAAGGCGTGAAAGTCAGTACACAGGTTTAAATTTAAGGTGACAAACTTTTAATCTACAAAAGTTTAATCTATCTCCCTCTCACCCTCACTCTCTCTCTCTCTCTCTCTCTCTATATATATATATATATATATATATATATATATATATATATATATATTTATATATATATAGGGAAAAAAGATAGAGAGAAGGAGGAAGAAAAAGAAAGATATTCCTTGAAAATACACATCGATTCTCTATTCATTAATCACATGTATAGAACATCCAATAATCGTGTCACGCTGTGCACACAAACACAACACACAAACACAGCACACAAACAGAGAGAGAGAGAGAGAGAGAGAGAGAAACGCGCGCACTCCCACAGTCACACAGAGAGCAGAGAACACTTTTGCACAAAAATGTAGAAGGTCGCAAATCTACGCGTGACGTTAATAAAAGTTTCAAAGTTAAATTCGATATATATATATATATATATATATATATATATATATATATATATAAAGACAAACGGAAATATTCACATTGTCGTTGTACAGATACATTGTAGTTATATCTGAATTTTACATTCACACATACATTATATATATATATATATATATATATATATATATATATATATATATATATATATATTGTTTTTCTAAGGCAATATTATTAAATTATTAATAGACACAGACATTTTGTGATGATTAATTTAACTGATTAGCCTTTCCAGATAAGGAGGAAATTCTGTCTAAATTCCTCTGGATTTATTGTACCTTTCTTCTGACAATTTCTGATGCATTGTCACCCTTTTTCTGAAATGGATTATTCGTAATTTGGAAACATTGATCAGCAAAATTAATTGGCACACAATATATAAATACATACATTTATATACATATACATATATATGTGCGTGTATGCGTAAATTTATATATATATATATATATATATATATATATATATATATATATATATATATATATATACGCGTGCTTGTGTGTATGTTTATTTTATATATGTATGTAGGCTGACTATTTTATATTTTTTTCTGCTATTTACTTACTCACTGTGCATAAACTTGACAATCATTGGTACAATCATTCACAAAACAGATTGTGTGATTTTTTTATATTTTTCTTACTGACAGTTTTCAAATCGACATTATTCGTTCTCTTTTGCTCAAAGCCTCTCTTCTCTAACTTCTATCACGCTCTCTCTCTCTCTCTCTCTATATATATATATATATATATATATATATATATATATATATATATTGTGTGTGCCCCGCGTTTGCATGCATGCATGTGGGCGTGCATATGTCTAACTATCGATGTATTTGCCTGTCAATCTGTCTTTTTATCTTATACGCTCGACCAGGTACATTCCTTTGATATTACATATATATATATATATATATATATATATATATATATATATATATATATATATGTGTGTGTGTGTGTGTGTGTGTGTGTGTGTGTGTGTGTGTGTGTGTGTGTGTGTGAGAGAGAGAGAGAGAGCACGTGGGCGTCTGTGTGTTAATTTCTTTACCTTTTGCATCCACAACACAAGCTAGTCCATATTTACATACATTCATACACGCACAAAATTTTATACCTCCTGGATATTTCTATTTCACATTGCAATTTCCTTTCGCTAGACCCAATACACCACACGCATGCGCAATTACTCCCATCCTTTCTTCTTATATCTCGCCCTCTTCTCTTTCTACGTCCTCATGGTTGCTCTTATTTTTCTTGACACCCACTCTCATTTATCTTTGTTTTGTTCTGTCCTTCTCTCTCTTTCTCTCCAGTACAGGTTTTCCCTACTGTCGAGTTATTCAGAGAAACACGCAATATTTCTTAATCTCAATCACTCGTCTACCCGCTTACCTTCTCTCCAATAAACATTCACGATCGCTGTCCACCTCTACCCACCTCTCGCGAATGCATCTTTTCCGATCAAGGGAATATTTAGAATATGGCGTATTTTATAGAAATATATATAATATATATATATATATATATATATATATATATATATATATATATATATATATTTGTATTCCGTTCCCTGCCATCTTTCTCTGCATCCTACGCGTTCTCGCCTTTTCTTTTTTTATGGCTGATGGCTTGGGATTTTTAACTTTTTTTGTTTTCGTTTTGCTTATTTAATTCTTAACTTTGCCTTTCATGGATGTCGATTGCCAACAGGTCTTGCCTCTTCTCTGCGCGATTTATAAGGAAAAGATGCAAATGCCTGAAACAGAATATTTTGAGGATCAGTTTTGGCTGCTTACCCTACCCTGAACTGCTTGAAAAATGAATCAGAAGGCAAATATAAAAATAAAAATACAGGATATATTTCTATTGCTTTCAGAATAATAATAATAATAATAATAATAATAATAATAATAATAACTATTATTATTATTATTATTATTATTTTAATAATAATAATAAGAATTTTTAATATCATCAAAGATTTAAATAATTAGATTATTTATTAACACTGACGCACATCTATATTAGCTATAATGTGTCATAGTTTTAATGTTGAAATAGCAAGACATAACAATAAGTTCTATTCTAATAGAAATTCTTTTATCGCACTTCTCACTTGTGGAAATTTCTTCCGAGTTCTTGCTTCCCTGACATCTACAATCTTCAAACATTTAGGTGCAGTGTCAGTCGCCATATTCTGTCTTTATGAATCCTCTTCTTTAAAATCTTACCATTCTTTTCCACTCCCAGTCACCCCTTGCTGCGTAGCGGTATAATCACCTTACTTGGGGAGAAATGATTAATATACAGGGTGAGATTGATAAGTTGTCATCTAAATTACGCGAAAATGAAAATAACACTGTCTTCTCATTTTAACAAATATATTTACAAAAATTACACAAAAATATCTTGAAATAATAAAGAGTAAATTTATTCAATGAAATCACCATTGGCTTCAACTGCGGTCTCCTTGTTTACGTTGGTGGGTGCTGTCATAATCCTTGCCTTCAGTTAATCTTCGAGGGTACAAGTAGTTGTGTTGGTATCTCGCTTAACTGTGTCCCTCACATAGTAATGAAGAAGTTGGTTAGGTAGCCAGGTATAAGGGTTGATGTGGTTGCAGAAATTTTGATGACAGCCAGTTCTCCTGCTTGTGTGGTATGGTGCAGAGTCATGTTGCCAAAAATAGGGACTTTTAGTAGCCACCCTCTTGATACAGGGCAACACTACCTCCTCGAGGCACTTGATGTGGATTTTGTGTTGAGTCTGAGGCTCTCAGCAACAAAATCAGGAGTTTTTGTTTCTCATCAGAACGATCAGAGTTAGTTTACCGAATCCTCTGCACTCTCCCCAGATTGACACCCAGACACTCTGAAATGTTCGTAGTAGAGCTTCCGGTGCGATGTCACACAGTACAGCATGCCGTTTCCCAAATTCGGGGGGAGTGAATTGCGCTATGGTGCTCTTTTTCTCGCAGACGGTGCCAAACTGACCCTACTATAAGTGTAGTCGACAAAATCAAAAACAAAGCACATGCGGGAAATTAAAAAATATAAAATGGTGACAATTTCACCATAGCACCATATATATATATATATATATATATATATATATATATATATATATATATATATATATATATTTTAGGCAGCAATCCTTCTTTCATGCACATTTCATTGAATACTACAAAACACATTATTTATTATTTAACAGTTAAAATATTTCATCCGTGAAAATGGCAAAATGTATAGCCCAAAGCGCTCAGATAAAAATAACATTCGGTCAGTTTTTATATAATTTATCATCTGAAAAGGAAAAAAAATATTAGATCGCTAACCATTACACTATTATATATGTATGTATGTGCATGCATATATATATATATATATATATATATATATATATATATATATATATATATATATATATGCACACACACACACACATATATATATATATATATATATATATAATAGTCTTTTTTGCTGTTTTTTTATTAATTAATTCACTACAGGCAATGCAATAAAGCTACTTAGTCACTAGGGTTTGCTGATTATAAATGATTCTACGGTTTATGAATCAGGAAAATACTTTTTAGATTGTAAGAACTTTGGGGTGGGGCAGATAAAAATATTTCATTGATATTAGGCTTACTAATTAACACATAGCTGGGGGACGTAATGTGGATTCATAAGATTCCCAAGGATTTTTGCTCATAAGTGAATATAAGGAACCCAACAAAAATTCAAACTCAGCTATCCGATGCACAAATCCATGTTATTATCCATTACACCAACCGCACATCCAAATTTATTACATCTGGTATTCTCATGCCGGGTGAATGTAAAAGTATATGTGAAAAAGAACATTACTAAGGAAAGCGAACAATAAAAAAAAAACATGAATTAAGAAAACAGAGACATAACATTAGACATTGTATTTACATTTTTGGAGATCAGTGTTGACTGGGAAGCAAGAAACATGAAGAGAATATCACAAATGTTCGAGAAGAAACTCTTGGCATAAATCTTACGGTTGCCTCTAGAAATTCATTTCCTCCGAGACGGGGCTGGACTTATTGCCTGTCGCCTGAGGTGTCCCCAATAGGGGAAGTGCCGAAGGTGTTTGGACAATTTATGAACGGTATTGCCGTTAAATTCACTTTAAACCACGACCTTGTGTCACATTTCGTATCGACGTGGTCGCGCTGAAAAATACCCTTACCTGTCATAGGAGTTAACCTACAGTCAGTGAGGGTTTACTGAGGTATAGTCATCACGTTCTTGCTGTAATTGGAGCAGTGTTCCTACTCATTTTAAATGGGAGAAGTGCTAGGGCCCACAAATTCCAACTTTGCGGTGGCACCTTCTTCATTTCACTAAAGAGGTTGGACCGGTGTAATCCTGATACCAACGTGACCGGGCTGGGCAAAAAGCAATTTTTGTTCTTGGTCCATATGCATAAGTATTCCAACGGGGTTCTCTTTGTTAAAGCGACCTTGTGTCAAATCCAGATTTTGTGTGGAAGTCGGTGGGGGTCATAACTGGCACAGAAATTAACCATTAGCTAGTGAGGGTTTACTGTGACATATATATCGCCCCTGTGCTGTAAGTGGAGCTATATTTCTCCCCTTTTTAGATGGGAGAAGTTGCTCAGCTCTGGGGATTCCAACTCTGCGGCAGCACCATCATCGTTGCATTAAAGAGGTTGGATCGGTGTAACCGATGCCAGCGTGACAGTGGTCGCAGTTATTGGTCAAAAAACAATGTTTGTCCTTGGCCCATATGCATAAGTATGCTTATTGCGCTCCCCACGTTGTAGCGACCTTGTGTCACATCCAGCCTCGGTGGAGAGACCGAGTAAATATATCTAGTTGCCAATCTAGTACTGCGCTTAAACTCGTAAAGTTATAATACTGCCAGCGCTGTTATTAACCCAGTATTTCTTTCGCGGAACTTTCCTACACTTTTAATTGTCAATACTGCTTTGGGCTGCACCTGTAGCGCGAATATTTGACAATCTTCTCCTGTAAACTAGTAATAATGAGCACGGTCTTCAGAACGTGCTTCATTACTGCGGCCTGATATGCTTACTAAAAATAGATCTGCCTCTCAGCTAATATAGTTCCCATCAGTACGACTGGCTTTTTCTTTGAGTCAATATCAATACTAGCATGGGTATGTGTCCGCGCGTGCGTTTAACGAAAGTATATAAATAGTTACAATCATGCGGCTCTTTCTACATTTATCGATGCACGTTAACAGAAAAATAATCAAGTGTACATATCGCATACACTCATGTATAGAAGGTGTAACCATTTCAATTCGGTCATGCCGGTAGTGTGTCACTGGCGTAAAAACAATGACTTAGGCAAACGTTTGCACCAGAGAACGTACGGACATGTTCGCTTTCTTGAAATAGACCAGATGAGTCATTCGTTGACGAGCAGTAGAAGAAGTTGTAACGTGTTCATGTACTACAGCTGGCTGGAAAATATTCTGGTGCTGCGGATTAGCATAAGATTTTGTGTGGAGGTTTATAAAATTGCTATCGAAATGTTGCCATCATTTAAAAAAATGACTGTTTTATGATGAACATGTTATCAAGAATTCGAGCACATTTATTGGTACATGGGCTTCAAGGAAAAGCGATGTAGTCTGTCAAAAAGCACACAAATCGTCTGCAAATAGAGAAAGAGTACGAACCCTGTTGAGGCAAATTCTATCAAAAGTTTTGAAAGTGTGAATATTTACCTCGTCATATCTTATTTTTATTCATCATATCACGGTCACTAAATACCTTTTAAAATATGACTAGCGTTTCACTAGTACTTTTGCGATTTGTATACAAAATTTGTTGCTAATCCGCTGCTCTAGATTTGTTTCATTCATTCCACTCTAACAATATAATATGAACACTTCCAACTTCCTCTACTGCTCGTTAAAGAATGACTTATGAAGTATGTCACAAGAAATCGAATGTTGGAGTACGTCAGGATGTGCTCGAACACAAATATATGCCTGAATTGTTTATATGACCCTAGTGAATCATTGCGGCCATTCCGAGATATAAATACGCATCACGCAACATATATTTGTGATTAAAATGACAAACAATATTCTTTTGTCACCGATAGAAAAGGAATTTGTTTCTAATTGCCTTCTCCATAATTTTTTAAATCATAATTTTCCTTCTAGATTAGTTTCCAAGAAAGGTTAGCGGTCCTAACCTGCTTTCCTATTTAACTTATGTCTGCAGGAAGAAGAAATGGATCTATGCCTTTCCCTGTGGTCATTAGTGAAAAGTGAACACAGATTGACTCAGTTGGAATTTGAACTCTGATTGCGAATTCCATTTTAAAGACTGTTAACTGTTACGTCACTTGCACCTCCTTTACATAGAC